AATGCTTACAAACTGCAGCAAGAAGTTCTGATGTTTTTAAAATAGAAAAGAGGAAAGTACAACTAGCATTAAGTCAAAGTTAAATATTCGCATGCATACTCAAAACAGTGAATAAATAGAAAAAATATAAACTATGCAATATGGGCAAAGTTACAACATAAGAAAATAATACTGTATAGTTATTAAAGAATAGCATATTCTGGTAAAAAAAAAAAAAAAAAACAGTGCAGTCATTTTAACAAATGGACAAAATCCTGTATATTTTTGCGTACAGGATTTTTACAATGAAAACATGCAAAAAATAATTGTGATGTCATTTGAAATAAAGAAAAACTGTGCAACTGTAAACATGGACCTTTGTTGACATGATGTTTGTCCCTGAAGGAATTATCCAGCTTAGTAACAGCTTTATGCAAGGGGTCGGAGATATTCTCCAACAGTAATGCTGTTTTTTCTAAATGTTTTTTGGGTGGCAAGCCAATATGTGCGGTACATAAAGAAAAATGTAACATCTTGGTCGGTACTGACCTAACCACGTATGCTCTCAAACTATTTGTTGATTGATTAAATGCAACATGCATTTATTTAAAAAAAAAAAACTTTAAAAGTAGAGCCATAAAATGCTAAAAATTTTATACCAATATATAGTAAATGCCCAATAAATATGAATAGGAAAGTGACATTTCTCTTACACAGAACATGCTTGAGGTAGCTAAAACATTGCTATTCTGAACAGTTGAAACAGTGAAGTCTATGTATTATATGAGTAAATGGCTTGCCATATAATCCCTAATGAATCACCAAGGTGAGCAACTCAGCGAGCAGGTTTACAGGATGTGCTTTCATCAGTATTGTTACAGTCAAGTTTCTTTTCTTCAACATTCTTACCGTGTTACAAAGTAAATCATACATTCAGATGAAGGTAATAAATTGTCACAATAAATACCAGTGAAGAGATACAAAGAAGGAAATAGAAACATTACAAATGAAGGTAATGAATAGAGATAGCTCTGGAATACCTAATTTTTCTAACAGATTAAATATCAGGTGTTGCACTTTTTCAAGTTGCCATTGGATTTCAAAAGAGTTTTAAAACACGTGAAACTACCTCAAACTAACTTTATGAGAAAGCTCACAAGATGTATTGCTGCTTTGTGGTATTAAATATGAATTCCTTCAGGTTGTTTTCCGGGATTACAAATTTGAGTAAACATCGGAAGAAAATACATTCCACTTAATTAGAATAAAAACGTTGGAGTAACATTTTTATGCTACCATTATTAGAATGATATTCCACATGGAAGATCAAATGCCACCTGGTGAGACAAAAAATAATCAGAGAATAAATACGGTGGCTCAGAGGTAAAACTAAATAAAAACATTAACACACAAAGAAATTGTTGCTTTTAAAATGTATCCTTTCAAGTGAGCAATTAAAAGCAAGGGCTTGGCTTTAGAGCATCATTTCATTTGGTCTTTTGAACAATCTTAACTTTTCTGTCCAGTTTGCTTATTTGGATTTTAAAGTTATAACCTAAATCAGCAACACAGAAGTACAAAGGGTTAAATATATGGAGCAGTACTCGTATATAAACTATCAACTGCTTTGATAGTTGAGTAATTTGCAAAAAATTAGAAAGTCAAAAAGCTCAGCAACCCAGAAACTTGTGAAAATGACATAAACCTTAATCTTAATTACAGCTAAAACATGTCAGTACAGCATCATGTACATTAGTACTTGTGTTTGTTTTGCATGACTTACAGTATCAACATTATGTGAATGAACACCTGCGGCGTCCAGGAAGCCTACACTGGTTTAGTATTGACCTTTTGTAGTTTCCCCTTCTCTGCAGAAAGTGTCAATGACCATCTGCTGACCAACAATCAGCAGTTTGAATATAAACTGGATCAGTTTGGCCATTGAGATGACATCTGTTGTGCACTGGTGCCAATATAGATGAACTTTATTCAAATTTGACTTTGGAATGAATTTTTTCCAGTACAATTATAGATGTACTTTTATATATAAAAAATAATTTTGGGATATCTTGCCAATACAACAAAGCAAGCAAAAGTTCACTTTAGAAAATACAAGGATTTCTATTTAAAAAACAAAACAAAAACAAGGTTAGTAGAAAATGTATCTTCAGTCTTTATTTTCCAGAGGAAAGTAAATTTTGTTTTTAATTTCTTGCAAGTTGTCTGATCTCAAACTTTTATTCAGTAGTTTAGTAGTCAGCAGAGGTGACAGTAAACCGATCCATGATGCTCTGAGACGTTCTGCCGCCCATCAGAACCCTGGTCAAATGTTTGTTGGCGCAGTTTGACTTTGATCAGAGAGAAAGGGGTAAAATGGCTGCATGGCATGGTAGAAGGGTTGATGCTCCTGCTGACCTGATGGAGCTCGGTGTGAAGAAGTCATTGCTGGAGGATGAACCAAATCCTTGGTTTGCGATTGGGAGGATTTGGTTGGGAACCACATATACGGGTATAAAAGGGTGTTGTTGGTATAAAGGCTTTTCAGAAAGAGGCAGGTCAGTGGAGGTCACTGGAGCAGGAGCATTTTGTAACTGGGAAAGATGACGGAAAGGATACAACATGGGGATCTGGAAGACCTGAGGATGGAGGTACTGTGGTTTTGATTCTGCATTGTCTGCAGTTTGTTCCTGTGGAGATTGTGGGTATTTAGAAAACGGTACGAAGGGATACTGAAACGGCATTGGAAACTCTGTCTACAGGGAAGGCTCTTCACTCCCTGTTGGAGTAGGTGTGGTCACATCACCCCCTGCGCTTGTTGCAGGAAGTGGTAAGGGGGTTGTTGTTGGCAGAAAAACTCCAGTCATCATGGGGAATTCTTGGAAAAGTGGAATTGGATACTGAGACAGTGGTGTCTGAGGTAACTGGAGATGACATGTGTGTCTATTTCCATCTATAGTGGGATGTGCTGGTGATTCAGATCCAGGAAACAAACAGAAGTTGGGCAGGAAAGGAGGGTTCTGATTTTCAGGCATCTTTTGGTTTTCAGATAAATCTGCAGCAACAAAGGAAAAGGGCAACGGAGCCACAAACCCGGGACTTTGTGTCGACTGCGATTCTTGGAACTCTGAAAATATTGGCAATTGAGGGAACTGAAGTTGTGGAGCTTCGTTGCCGTCAGTAGAGGGTGCAGCTCTTCCTGTGGTGAGGTCAGGCTTTGGTACTGGAGGACAAGATGCTCCCAGTTCAAAATCTTCCCACTGAAGAGAGAGTAAATACTCCCCATCCTGCAACACAAGACACAATCAGAAGCAAATCTATAGTTCAGTTTCCATGTTTGACCACAAGAGGGCCTCATCATACCTTGATCTCCACACACAAGTCTTTGTAAGGTGCATGAGGGTCAGCTCACCAAAAGACTCATTAAAAGTCAGCCTGCAGCTGCTGCAGGCTGGTGACAAAGGTTGCCATGTCCCAGACACTGCAACAGTTGTAACACAAGAAATTTTAGCAAAATGTGTTTTAATAGCTGGAGAACATTTTAAAAGGATCCATCTAAATGTCCATCACTGGTAACACTTAACCTCCATCCTGAAAAATCAAGTTTGTGGTTGAAACATGAAAATATTCAAAAAGTTACAACTATTTTTGCAAATCACTACTATAAACACAACATACATTTTACTTTGAGTTCATTGGCTGGAACGCCACGAATCGTCTCCACCATCTTGTCTGGAAAGCAGAAAATGGAGGACAGAGTTAACATACCAGGGCAGGACATGGTCATCGGTTCCCCCCATAATCGCAGCGGTAAGGAATATTCATCCTCCTGTGGAAAGGAAGCCCAAGGGCAAGGTTGGCCTTTTTTAAAAAATGATATTAAAACAAAATCTGGTCCGGCATTACCTGCTTATTAACATGACAGCCCTGATAGGAGACCATATATTACACATCTCTGCGGGATCTCTTCACAAAAAAGCTACATGTAGAGGGCACCTGGGACAGAGGAGTAAGAGGTTCCTCACCTGTTTGAAATTCAAAGAAGATGTTAATCTTCTCTTTGCATACTGAACAGCAGTATATAATGCTTATAAATAATAATAATTATTATAAAAATATAATTAGTCCATAAATTTGAGCAAACTGTAACTCAATTGAAAAGATACTTGTTTCGAAAAACGAGACATTTGGCATTATAAGGTTAGAAATTGTTTTGTTTTGCATTTTAGGAGATAAATTTCCTCTGCCAAGGTTAATTTACATGATGTTCTCACCATTAATTTATTATGGTAAAAGATTAAAGAACGCTTTTTTTTCATAATAAACAAATCGCCATCACATAAATCTCTACACTATTAGCAAGCATTTCATGTCAAGTCCCAACACAATTGCTTAAATATGCACGAAAATATGCATATGCTAATAAAACTCACCAGTGGTGGAATTAAAGTCTCCCTTTTGGTCATATGTGAAGGTGAGTGAACCAGGTTCACCTTTCCGACCAGACCCCACCCGGCTGAGGTGATGGCTGCCTGGGACTGCTGCAGCTCTTTCCTCCTGCGCTTCACCAGAGAGCCCATCACACACAGTGCAGGACCTCAGGACGACGGTCAACGCAAAACAACACAAAATGCTCCTCAGAGACATCGCTTCGGATTGTACAGGTCGTTTGTTCGTAAATAACTTCTGCTAATTGCCAGGGACTCCGTGGCGCCCAACGACCCAACATATACTGTGACATTAATTAACCAATCAGGCAGCGCTACGTCACAAAGCACACCTGTCTGCATTGCAGTGCTGTGATGATGATCAAGACTAAGATCATCGTCTAACCGGCTGGCATAAGATCTGCTTGAATTTTAAGAAATAACATTTAAAAAGGAGATTCAACCCAAACATGATCCACGTTTATGATATTTGCAGATTGCCTTTTTATGTTATGAAGATATTTTGAATTGATATACAGAGCTACTTATATTATCATTGATAGTTTGGCTAACTTTAAATGAAACCAATCAATCAAATGAATTTGTCATCAGTTTATTGAAACATTAGATAGTGTTGGTCTGGGATCTTTAACAGACAAGCATGCAAAACAGAGACACACAAAAGGTTAAACATATAAAATAAAACAGTTGTGTTTTATAATAATATCCAACAGATTTAAACAGACCCTTTTACAGAGGGAACTACCTCCCCTGTTTCTCACAGTTTCCTCTGCACGGTTTCTTTTGCTGTCATACTGCAGCTGAGCTTCCACTTCAATCTCCGCAGGTCGCAGCCTGAGCACAACACTCTGTAGCAGCAGTGAGCAAGTATTTAAGAGAGCTAACAGCATCAAAATCTTCATAGCATCTCAGAGAAAACTCCAGCAAACATTGCTTCCTCTACTTGCATTCTCACCATATGAGCTGTGATCCTCTTTCATTTTATTCATGAAAAAGCAGATTGTTTTCATTCAGCTCAGGCCTTGATTTCTTTGACATCTGCTCTACACTTTTGTTCAATATTCCTAGGAATATTGCAGGTATCATCTGCAAATTTAAATGATCAGGTTTAACTCATTCAGGGCACATAGTTGGGTTTCCACAGTGTTGACGTCCTTGCAGGCTCAGTGGGATGAAGGAGAAAATGCTTTTTTTCCAAGGTCGACTGACTTTGTGTCAGAACTGTCAAAGTTAATTTAAAGAAACATTTACTTTTGTTTCTTTTGTACATTTTAAAATCAATCGACCAAACAAAATTTTCAAAAATGTACAGTTTATTAAAAAAATCTAACTGATGAAAATTACAGATGACATAGTTTCATGACATAGTTTTTAATATAAACTTATGTAATAAATAAATTTTGCTTGATGAAGACTCATTGCATTAGTGCTAACATTTTCTCCTCTGCACCAACTTTTTCATGATTGTTATTGGTTAACGAGCGAGGTCAATGAAATGTCTCTTTTGTCCCAAGGAGTGGTGAAACAAATGAGTCAGTGTGCAAACCATCTTGTTTATTTAAAATGTTTAAAATTTGCAAATAACTTGTTCAAAGAAATGCTTGAGGAGAAAAAGCTAAGGCCAAATGTTTTGAAATGTTAGATGTGAGTCAGAGTCCCTGATGCTTTTTTCTCAGAATAACAAACAGATATCAAGAGCTTAATATCTATAAAACTGATAGCGATTGAGCGGGTTTGACATTTTCAATTCATTTTCTTTGTTTACAAATATAACATAAAATCCTTTGAGCATTTATAACTAAGCAAATCTGATACAAAAAAGTGTAGAAATATGGTGGACCTTAATAAAAAAAACTCTTCCGTTCTGCATAACATCAACTAAAACTGTTTAAGTATGTTATATTAATGCAAAAAACCCAGTCTGTCCATTTGTACTTTGCTCTCCTTTCAGATTGTGTCTTAAAATAAATACACACCAGAAAAGACTCAAGAGAATAAATCAGTAATCTATAGAGATATAGATTATAATTACAACCAAACTGGCCTTTTCTAAAAATGAGCAAAGTTTTAATTCAAAGTTGAATAGTTACACTTATACACTTATATCTTTTTCAGCAGTTTTATACTTAATGCAGCACAACATTGTGGATTTAAAAAAAATAATTTTGTACTTTTAAAGGCTCTACCCTAATGAGCCTAGAGATCGGTAACGTCGTCATCAGACCAGTCATTTTGGAGCATCACTCCTGTGAATTGTTCTCCCGTTGGTTCAGCAGCTGGAGATCCAATCCTGCTATTAAAATCTGGTGTGGCATTTACTGACTGTGCTGGCTCCTTGGCCTGGAAATGGTCTAAAGATGCAGAAATGGACTCTGTATCCAACATCCACCCGTATCTGACGTAGGCTGGAGGAAATGCTGTTGGCCCCCTCTCTCCATCTGTGCCCAAACTTTGAGTCCAAGAGGGAGGGGGAGGCGTGAAGACGGCCCCAGCTATCAGCTGCCCTTGATAAAGGGCGTTGTCAATGCTGAGCCTGAGGTTGATGGGAGACGGGGGTCGCATGTCGAACTCGATGAGTGAGAGGACACATTCTCGTTCACCGACTTTCTGCCAGAGCAGCGCAGTCTGAGAGTCAGAGCTGCTGATGCTAACAGGATCAGAACTACAGTCCAGGTTAGAGGGAGCCTGCTTATCACCATGCAGTGCATTGTTGCTGACACCAGATCTAGACATGTTATGCTTTGCAATGTTGTTTGGCATCAAATCTTCCAAGGATTTCTCTGATTTTCCCCTCAGGCCTCTTTGCATGCAAACCAAAACTCTTTGCCACAAGCCTTTCTTTACTTCCTTTTTAGAGACATTATCTCTACCCTGTAAATCAACGCCTCTTGCTTGGCCTTTAGATGGCGTCCAGAAGACCCAAGATCCAAGAAAAAGGACAGAGAATCCCCATGCTAACTCAAAAATCCTGGCCCAGAACTGACTGAGCCACCAACCCCAGCTGAAGCGCCTCCAGTTCCCCAGGAGCCCGTAGAGCCAAAGCACGCTGTATATCTGAATGCTGCAGCAGAGCACACTAAGCAAGGCGCACACAGTCGTTACTCGCTTTCCGAGCCTCTTTGTCCTCTGAGAGGGAACCCACTGTGGGACAGCAGATCTGGAGAAAGGTTGTGAATGGGAGAGGGACTTGGTGAGGATTCCCAGGCAGAAAGGGATACCCCAGCAAAGGGAGATGGTCTGCAATAAAAGAGGAAAAGTTGGGGGCAAAGTTGAAGAGTACAGATCGGCTAAAAGTAAGAAAGTGCAGTGCGATACACCAAGTACTCCAACCACCCACGGGGACTGCAGCTTTGAAGGGAAAGATGTTACTTTCATCCCTTGGAGCGTTACAAGAGCGAGGACAGTCTGCGCCCACAGAAGAAGCTGCAGAGGAATATTATGTAGAGCTGCCAGCGTAGCATGAGGCAGGATCTGACGGGTACCGTAAGGATCGACAAGAAGGAGGGTTGTGCGCATAGCACCTGCTACGGCAAGGAAACTATTAGAAAGTGTGAGGGCATCACAAAGGGTATGAGGAAGAGTATGCGCTCCAGCAATTCCCAAAACTGCCAGAGCTGTTATCAACACGAAGAGGCTTGCAGATCCAAAGACATGCAGCTCCCAAGCAAATGCCAGGGTGCGGCTCATGTCATCCCACAGCAGGCTGGTGCCATTGAAGCTGTTAAAGATCGTGCAAGGCGAGAAGCCGAGCACACAGGGGCTTCCTGGTCTCGACAGGCTGGGATCATTCATGAAGGTAAACACACTGGTTTGGACTGGGATTCTGGAGTGGTCTTCACCTGAAACAGAGAGATGTTTTATTTTTTTGCATACACAAGAATTAGACAAAGAGTCATTTCAGGTAGTGGCCTCTACACAGCCATGAGTTTGATTTACATTCCAACTAGGGCTGCACCGATTACAGTTTCTGGACGCTCACCGATTACCGATCTTCAAAAAGCCTGACCTACCGATTCCAATTTTGGCTGATTCGTCCGAAACGTTGCTAAATACAGAAACAAAGTTGCTGAGGGTGACTATTGTTAACTGTGAACGTACAGATGTGACCTGGTGGGCCGGTGTGTCAGTCAAACCTCTCTGTCCTCTCTGACAGGAGAGCGGAAGAGGACAGTGGTTGATTTTTAGACCTTTGCTGAGGAAGATAATATTAGCGGATAAGATCAGCTTCACATGTAAGTATCACCGATCTCTCAAAATTAAGAAAATCAACGCTGATAAATCGGTGCACCCCTGATGCCAAAAAACCCTCACTCACTCAAATTCAGCAATAAGAATAATATTGTATTTAAGCCTTGCACTTCAAAAGTGTATGAAGACCAGCAGCTCCAGCATTGACTTTCTACACGTCTGATACAGTTGTGTACATAATTTCATCTCCAGGTGACGTATATCGACACAGATATTTTTTATTTTTTTTGCTTTGGCAAAAAAGTTCAGTTTACCTTTTCTTTCCTGCGGTGCCACTGCTTTACAAAGTTTTGCATCGTGACCGTCGCAAGTTGGAGCCACCATGTTTATTGAACAAAGGTAACTTTGGCACAAAATTAGGGTAAATGTTATTGAAATCGCATCAGTGAGGCAGTAATGAAGTTCAAATGAATTGAGATTTCTCTGACGGCCACTTTAAACGTTAAACCACGTTGGAACTGATTTGGCAGCTTTTGCTTTGTTGTCTGTGAGGCTAACCACAAGGTTTACACTGTATGTAAACACAGTCAAAATAAAGCTGACTTTTAAGTAATTATTCTGTCATTTAGCAAATTCTAATATTTTTGGTAATCTTAACAAATATAAAAAACTAATTCAACTTGAGTCCATGTCAGATGGTGATGAAAAAGGTTATAACTTTCAATATACAGTTATTTACTAAATTAGAAAATCCATTCCAATTTCTTGGACTAAAAGTACCTCACATTTCTATATTTAAATGTTTTTTTTTATTGGTCTGATGTAATATTTTAATCTTAAATCTCATGTTTTTATTGACTTGGCAGAAAATGTATATTTATATAAATTTTATTTATATGTTGTGTTTTACTTAGTGACTTCAGTTACTGAAATAAATAAAATTTTCAGTCATATTTTAATTTACTGAATTATCACTGCAGTGTATGGAAGTATCTGGTTTTAACTGTATATTGCACCAGCCAATCATCCTCTAATAATCTGAAGGAATAAAATGAGATTATAATGTGTTTGAGTTTAAATCAAGTTTACCTTTCTGCAAGTCATCATCGCCATCCGACGGGACGCCGTCAGAGATCACAGTGGGGCGTTCAGGTCCTGTAACTGAATCTTCAGATTTTTCTGCTCCTTGGTTGTGAGCTCCTGAGCTGAAGACACTTAGTGCTGGTCTTGTGGTTAATGTGATTCCAGTCTCTGAGTGGTTTTTATTCCTCAATCGCTCAGACTCCTTTCGGACGGCAGTCTCCTCGTTGCTGAGCTCCAGTAAAGTCAGGACGTCAGCAGTCTGTCCGCTGCCCTCCACAAGGCTCTCTGAACCAAATGTATCTCTGCCGGCTACATTTTTCAGCCTGTCAGTGCTTCCGCCTGTACTTTGAGGCATGTCGACCGTGTCAGAGGCAGCCAATGAATGCAAAGTCTGAGTGAGACTTCCAAGTGAACAGAGAGATGCAGTTAGAGCGACGAAAAGAAAAGTTGAGAGACCCATTTTTGTTGATTTACAGCCACTGTCCGTGGATACAAAGCAAAAAAGGATTGGGGATTAGTCATCACATCTTTAAGAAAGTTTGTATTTGAAAACATCTTTAATTAAAACCAGTTTTCATGAGGAATAAGTGTTTTATGGTGTACTATTCTGGATAATTGCCAATGTGTTCACAGTAGAAAGATTTCAAAGGTTAAGACTCGTTTAAGAGTCAGAGAGATATCCAAATCATCATGTGTTTTAATCCTGTAATTCCCTGAGTAATCCAAAGGGTTTACAAACCACACAGCATCTGCAGACGGTTTGATCCAGCAAAAATACTAATAAACAAAAAAAAATAGAAAAAGGAGTAAACATGGAGGTTCACAATGAGTCAGAAATATTTGTGCTGTTCTTGGTGTAAATGTTGTGGTGACATTTGCATCACTTGTGAAAAAAGTAAACGCTACAATGACTATGTCTGCTTTTACAACTTATGTCTTCTTACTGTAACATAATCAGGTACTTTGACCTTTAGATCCAGCAGAATTGAGATTGCAGAATTGAAATTTCAACACTTAGAGTTCAAGTAGAATAAGATTAAATATTGACTATCCAAAGAAATACTGAGCTTTTTGTCCATTCAATTCAGCATTTAATCATTTACAAAATAGTGTTTTGAAAGCAGCATGTGAAACAAAACATTTATTATTTACACATTTCAGTCTTCAGCTGCAAGAACAAAATAACCTAAAAATACATAAACCTACATGATAACTGGAGAGGTACCTGATGCTCCTGACAATCCTCTGCCTTCCTCTTCAGGGTTTCAGTGGTTGTGCTCCGTCTTTATTGCTCCAGGGCGTCTCATTGATTTCTAACGAGGAACATAAACATCTCACCGAACAGTTACTGAACAGAGGATTTAGAGGCACGCTCACAGACGTCTAACCTTTCAAGCCGACGTCTTAGTCCTCTTACTGCACCAGCTGCTTCCTTGGCCTTTTCCCATCCAGGTTGACCTCAATAACTACAGCTGCTTGTGAAATGTTAAAAAAAGTCTATAAAAATTAGCTGAAAAAGTTGCTTCTTCTTCTTTTTTTTTCTAAATACATTTTATAGCTTTTTTCGTTCTTTTTGATTAAGGAAAGCCTGCAAAAGCCTCTCTTGACTTTTTGCAACATTTGTTTGAAGGTAAATCCCTTTGCATAGGATTACTTTAAGATCCTTACAGTGGCACCGAGTCACATGAGGCGATGATGTGAAGCCAAGAAGACACGAGCACATGCTCAATTTATGACAACTGTTATTTTACATATATACACACAGAATCATATTTCACACCTGGAATTACCTGTGGACAGAGGACGGTCTGTGTGTTGTGCGATGAAACATGATTATTAATTGCGTGGTATGTTAATGGTATGTTTTAAGTCCCAGCCACAAACTTTAATGTATTTTTATTTGGCCTTTATTTGATTATTTGAACACAAAGAAGAACATTTTGAAAGCAAACACTGCAAATGTTTCAACATTTTTTCCACATAAAAATATGAAACATGCATTTTCATTCAACCCCAGCCAACTGTTTGTAGAACCCCATTTCGCTGCAATTACAACAAATATTTCAGGGGACGCAGCATAACTTACACTCAGTCAGATGGAACAGAAACTAATTGATTATATTAACTTTTGATTCTCGTCACAGATTCTCAGTTGGATTTAGATCTGAACATTAACGGCATCATTCTACCTCGTGTTTTGTTTTGATTTCCATCGTAACACTGGCTGCGTGTTCAGGGTCATTGCTCTCCTGGAATCTGAACCCTGTGCTCCAGTCTCAAGTATAAAATGCACGTATGATTGAACTGAAATTTAACATACATTGTGATTTGGGGCTTTATTTGTAAACTAAATTGAATAGAATTTAATTAAAATCCAAATAAAATTGAGCAAAGTTTGGAGTATGAATACAGAAAACTGCACTGCACTCTTGTCCATATGCTGAGCATGTTGTGCCATTTGTAAATAAAGTGAAAGTACAATAAAAAACTTAAATGTTTATTGTTTGAATAAATAATGTATGTAATTATATTATCTGCTGTAAATATTGGTTTGATTAAAGAACTGATTTGATAAACTGTTTATTCTCAAAAAATGTTATTTTGAAATTTATTTGTATTGTTTTGGTCTTTAAATCACTAGAACCTGCATATCACTTTACTTTTTCTTTTTCTTTTTTTTCTTTTTTACTTTATCTCTGGTAAAAATGTGTTGAAGCAATGCTTGGTTGTCCTCCACCAACTTCTGCAATATTATAGCCTGCTATTACTTCAACAGAGACCTTGCAGTATCAGACAATCTGCTGATTTTAACTCCTACCTATCCAGGGAGTGACTGACTCTGCCCATTCAAAGGGCGCATCTCCGTCGGTCCACCTTAAGAGCAGCACGGGGCAGTTTGTTGTGGAGCGAGCAGGGGGACGCCCTCAGTGGCACATGCCTGGCGCTTTAAGGCAGACTGGGGAAGTTAGATTTTGTTAAAGGCATACACATTCAAATATTTACCAGGCTTCACATTGGCTATAGAGGGAAGCACTTTAACAATAACGCACTTTAAATGGGTCTGCAAATCAATCTTTGATCTGTTTTTGTCACACATGTCAGTTTAAGTGAGCTTTACTAAACGAGATTTGTAGATTTTGTAATTCTTTTCAGATGTTGTGTTATGGTATGTACATGTGGATAAGTTGCACTTTTTCACTTTCAGTTTATTTCTATGTGGTGATACAAAGAGGTATAATTGCATAATATTTCTGCATTATTATTATTATTTTTCTCAAACTTGGCACGATCGTGTATTAAACCACAAAGAGGCCTCGGTATTTGTGCCATGCTTTAATATGGCCATCACAAACTCAGGTTTCAGGTTCAGATGGACACACAGCTGGTTTGGGAGCCTCGGTTCTGGTTTGACTCGCGTTGCGTTCAGGGCCCACACCGCCGACATTTTTACTGCTTTCTGGACAGCATAGGAAGGCGGGTTTTCTCAATAAGCGCAGTGTGCATCTCAGAAATATTTCCTGGGATTTCCATCAGCGCTGGAGGAAACTCACAGAGCAGAGCAGAGCAAGAGCAGCGGCAGCCCCCGGAGCCCAGCCTGTAAAATAAGGAGACGTCAGAGACTCTTCGCCCGCTTCACCGCTGCAGTTACATTTTTATCGCGGTGTAATCACAGCCTTATTTGCGGGATTTCACGGCTGCTTACACGGCGCTATGTAGCGCAGCGAATGGCATGCTGGTGGTAGCTGTTAGACGTTTATCGGCTTTTTAATTTTAAACACCGTGCCTTGGCGGAAAGAAGAGGATTTCGTTTTATTTAAGGTAGCATGACAGGATCCTTCAGGGTGTCGAGCTAGCTGGCTAGCATTAGCTCAGTGGCTAGCTTAGCGTCCTGTTGTTGTAATGAATGGGGGTGGCTTTGATGTTCGCTCCGGGGCAAACTTTGCAACTTAATTGTATATTTCGTGATAATGCTTGTATTCTTATAAAGCCACACCAATTACGCTAAACATTTGCAAGTCAGAATGCTCTCCATATGGTTTGGTACTTAGCAGGGTCTTGCTAGCATATAGCTAGCATGCTAAGAGCTACCTCAACCATTAAAACATTTGATCTTCAAATAATTAAAACCACGTAAGCACATTTGCAGTTAATTGGGTTATTATTTTATAAATTTGTGATCGAAAGTCACCTAATGTAAACGTGTAATAGTGTCCAGGAGATCGGAAAGTCTCCAGAAAAAGTTGCATTTAGCGCATTAGCCTCAGTTGTTTTCCATAATGTGAAACGTTCCTAAGCAGGAGTTTAGCAGATTTTTTTTCTGTCTAAGATGTTTTGTTTTTGTTATTTTTTCAAAAACTAAGTCATTATTAAACAGCTTTACATTTAAATTGTCCTCTAAATACGAATGATTGCAAACATTATGTATGCTGGCATGTTTGTTTGATTGTTTTGTTGTTGTTTTTGTTTTGTTTGTTTGGTTTTTTTTTTAACTTTATTATTTCAGGTCAAGTGACGATGAACGAGCAGGAGGGCGGGGTGGTCTCATTTGACGAATATGTGCGGCAGAAGGCCCGCACCGTGCCTCAGCATAGGATGAAGGAGTTTCTGGAGTCTCTTGCTAAGGGCCCAGAGGTGCTGCAGGAGTTCAACCAGCAGGGGGGAGGAGGAGGAGCAGCGGTCACCACCACAACCATGGTGTACCAGCAGCAGGAGGCCAACTGTGTCTACACAGACAGCACAGAGGTGGCTGGATCCCTCCTGGAGCTGGCCTGCCCAGTAAGACTATGCTGCAGTCGCTGTTAAAGGAAATACACATGTAGTTGCATTCAGTCAGCTTTGAGAAGGCCAGAAGTGATGCGAAGATAGCATGACAGGATCTTTAAAGCCATCCTTGTATGTCATCAGCCACTATAAGAGCTAAACAAGAAAAATAAAGATTACAATTGTTTTCACTGTTCCTGAAGCACAAATCTTTGCCTTTCATTAATCATTAATTAAGCAATCACATAATTTATAAAATCAATCGCCTTTATCTTGTTCCCTTATTGACTGAAGCTCATTTTAAATCTTATGCGTTTTTTCGCCTTCCCATCAACCTTTTCCCATAGCTCTGTTGTTACCATCGATACCTTATTAACAAAATAAAAGTTACAAGAATCAAAGGAACTAAATTCAGTTTGCCTATATTTCATCTTTTAAATAAAAAAAAGTAGGTGCACAAGCTGCATTTCCATAGACAAATTTAACTAGCTTTGGACATTTTGTTGGAGTCATTGAAGCTTAATGCTTATGGATTGTTTATTTTAAACCGGAGAAGCCACAACTTGTTCTCAAAATTCGTGTACAAGATAAAGGATCAAAGTACAGCTAAAATATGTCTCTCTTTAAACCTTTTACAGCGAGACTGAAATTGATCCAAGATGGACATACGTCTGTTAATCTATTTTCGCAACATAATATCACCTTTCAGATAAAATT